CAGTCATGACAGGTTGCAGAAAAGACATGTAGGTCTCTGTAGCACATGTCTGACCTTGTTGGGCCTGTCCTGGCCACTAGGAAGTCAGATGCCCTCCTCGTGGCAAGGAAGCAATCAGAAGTTAGCTGGCAGGACTGTGCTTAAAGGCTCTGGGTGTACTTTACACATAAGTGCACAACAGTGGCATGCAGAGCATAGCAACCACCCTGGGCCATAACAACCAGTTGACCAATCAACACAGGACAGGGCGTCCAAGTCCAGAAGTACACCAATCCTGAGACTGTTGCATACCCTTAGACACTCCCCTTATGCTACCCAATATACTTCCTGCCTCCTGATTCCCCTGGGTCTTTCTCCAGCCATCTGCCATGGTGAATGGATGAAGGGCCCCAGCTAATGGGGTTACCTCATTAAACTACAATAAAAGACTCTTTGCTTTTGCATCGAAATGGGTCTCTTGTGATTTGGGGGTTTCAGAATTTGGGCACAACACTAGTTTTGTTCAGTGGTCTTTCTCATTGGTCTTGAGGTTTGCAACAGAAGGCCATAAATTAGAGAAAGGACCTAATTACCCCCGTTGCCAAAAAGCACTGAGAAATCGAATAACCGTCACATGAGAATGGCCCAGCTAAGGAGCTAATGTTTCCACCACCAAACCGGAGTGGGCACACCAGCACCACCTCCAGGCAAGGACCTTCAGCCAGCCCACATTCCCCAGGCAATTCTGATTCTCTCAAGCTTCTCCATTCCCGAAGAACCAAGCCAGCTTCTCTAGTTCAGAAGCACAAGTTGAGTATCAGGCAGTTATAAAACACATTCTAAGAAAGCGGTCACTCCCGCCACTATCCCCATGACCCTCCCTCCCCAGCCCTCACCTACTGTGGAATATTAATTCAAGATGGGTTACATTTGGTTATGTTGTGAAATGTGTGTCTAATGATGTCAAGAAGTGTTGCATGGTTTGATTAAATAAAATTAACTTGTGGTCAGGAGGTTGAGTCAGCAACTGACTGAGAGTAGGCGGTGGGGAGGAGCCACCCATAGCTAATGTTCTGAGATGGGGGCAGGGCAGGAGGGCGGTTGCAGAGGAGCTGGGAGAGGAGGTTACCTCCTAGTTATTCAGCCTTTCTGAGCGAGTAGAATTTCACCTCAACCTTTGAATCCCGAGTACTACAGAGCGACGGAGATCTTGGTAACGTTACAGGTTTACTGGCAGTGATAGAGCCAGTGCTTGAGGAAACAGAATCCCTCGGGATCCCCGTATCCCGTGCAGTCTCTGAGGCTGCACTGAAACCTAGACCAACCTCCATGTCAAAGATGCAAACTGGAGAGCCGAGGAGGACCAGACTCTCGCCCAATTTTGGGCAGGATCAGCATGCACGTGATAACCAAAAGTCCAACTGTGTTTTTCAAAGTACCGGCCTGTGGCATCACAGGAACTAGGACTACATTTCCCAAAAGTCGGCGCGACGGAGTTCTAGGAAGCCAGGGAGAGTGTTTTGTACTGCTCCCGCGTTTCCGTCCTGAGGTCTGCGCTGTAGAAAAGGAACTGTATGTATCGAGGTGTAATGAGTCGAATTTTTAGGTATCATGCGGCTGTCATCAGTTACTGTGGCCCGGCTTAAAGTGTAAGTGTGTGTGTGTGTGTGTGTGTGTGTAAGTGTGTGTGTGTGTGTGTGTGTGTGTGTGTGTGTGTGTGTGTGTGTGTGTGTGTGTGTGTGTGGTGGTTAAAGGCAAAGGTAACTGAAGAAAAGTTTCTACACCCCATAAGCTTCTCCACTAATGCAGCAATCCGAATCAGACCAAATTAGAAAAAACAAACAAAAACCCACGCTTAATGGATACCAGCTCTCGGATGACATTCCAGCCCTCCAAAGAGGAGAAGGGAAAGAAAGACCAGAAAACTATGAGTCGATTTTCTGGGAGGAAGTTAGAATACCCTTTGGGAGTGGTATTGAGCATCTCTGGGGGAGGCTTTCAGAGATGCTGCAGGGTTTGCAGAGAGATGGGGGAGGCAGCTTGGGTGGAACATCCACCGTAACAACCCAGGCACTATGGGTATGGATGCCAGAGGCTGTGGTGAAGCTTCTACCGTAACAGCCACCATTACTTCATTCCTGTGGAATTTACATGAGGAACTGCCTCACTCCCCGCTCAGTGGCAGTAAGCTAGTCTACAGAAACCAGACCAAGCTTTAGTTGTCTCTCAACAGTTTTAGACTTCTGGAGAGGGGGAGAAGCCAGAGTTGCTGGGAGCCCACCTTTTAGGAATTTAGACTGGTTGCCCAGCACCAGAGTTTTCCTTAGCTATCCGGAGGATGGTGAGAAATAGCCGAGTCAGCTCGTGCACAAGCAGCAGGCATTCAAGCTGCTCTTAAAACTCCACATGCAGCTGTGGTGGTGGCCCAGGGATGCATGAGTGTAGTGGGAACGCTCGGATCCTACAGTGTCGCATGTATGGCACCCAAGGTCCCCAAGAAAATGGTGTGGACTACAAAGAATTGGGCAGGCTCAAGCCCTCATCTCCCTGGCATGAAGCAGAAATAGCCCTTGTCATCGGCTAGTGGTTCCTCTTTCAAACAGGACTTTTCAGTGGACGCTCTGACGCAGGAACATGGTTGGGTTCCACTGCAACTTGTTTGTCACCTGCACTGTTCCATAATGACCACATAGGGACTGTGAGGAGGACATTGAGCATTGCACAAATTGTCTGGTGAAACAGCTCTCTGTAACAGTGTTCCAAACTCCATGAAGACCGAAGTGTTGCAAAAGCCTACAAAACCAATACCATATGGGCACTGCTCTCAAGTTCTGCTTACAACTTGGGATGGTTCCAGGCCCAACAGCATAGCTTCATTTGTCTCTGGCTGCTGGTCCTGGGAAAACACTTTCCCAGAAGAGTCGTTTTGAGCATGGAGCCCATTCGATGGCATTTTCACTTTTGGTCTCTCAAATGAACTTACAGTTCCACAAAATTGAGGCTTTCAAGTATATGGGAACCTTTCCTGCTCTTAGCACAGATTACCAGGATTCACTTATTGGACATGATCTAACAGTTACAGCAGATTTCACACTTGCCTAGTCTAACACTTTAAAGTCACGGTGCCTCAAATGACAATGTCCCCAGTGGGCTCATATATTTGAATATTGGTCCCCAGTTAGTGAGAACCATTTGGAAAGAATTAGAAAGTGTGAGCTTATCAGGATGTGTCATTTGAGGGTGGGCTTTGAAGATCTTCCAAGATCCTGTGTTATTTCTAGTTAGCTTCCTCTGTCTCTTACTGGTGGATCCATGTGTAAGGTCTCTACTATTACACTAGTACCATGCCTGCCTACTGCCATCTTCTCTACCAGAGGACTAGGCCCCATATGGACCCATAAGCAACACATTAAAGTCTTCTGATTTGACACACAACAATTAAAACGTTACCAAGATACTCACTCGTCTTGTATTATTGTGTCTTGTAAATGATACACAATAAAGGATGAGAGTAATGAGGGCACATGATGCTCTCCTTTAGTAAGACATGTAAATTAAGATTAGGAAATTCTTTGTGAAAATTTCAATAAATACTCCTTTGTAAGACTGTTCAAGGTTCAGTCCATCAGAAGAGGCTAAGCCTTCGTATTGCCACATAGCCCTTAAAATTTCATCTCGGAGTCCCATCTTCAACTGACCCACATTACATGGTGTATCCTGACAGGTCATATTGCATATGCTGTCATGACAGAGGAAACAATGAATGGTTCTATAAAGCACTGTTTCTACTGTCATGCTCTACTCCCATAAAGGGAGCCACACATATCTAGAGAGGGACTTGCCTCATTAATTTACCATAGAAGTTTCCTAACAGATATTACCAGAAAGTTGTGTCTCCTATTTGATTCTAGATCTCATCATTTGAAGAGTCACACACTCTGGGCATCTGCATTCGAAAGCCATGTACAGCACGGTGACCCATCAAAGGTCCCGATAGTGAGTCTCAGAAATACTTCTCGGCTTAGTCACTACACCTTGCTTTGGAACTTAGCAATTATGTGATGGGCAGGAGTCTGTAAAATTCTCCAGACAACCTGAATCCCTCAGTGGTACAGAAATGACTAAAGTCCATCTTGAATTGACTTCAGTTGTTTGCTTAAACTCTTCAGCCTTTTACTCACCTTCCACATTGGCATGGATTCTGCTGTTCGAAACCATGTCTTAAGGCTTGTGTGACCAGCGATTTTCCATATCAGCCCATTTTACTGTTCATGGATATCCTGTTTGCAATCTTTTTTTTTTTTTTTTTTGGTTTTGCGAGACAGGGTCTCTCTGTATTGTTTTGGAGGTTGTCCTTGAATTTGTTCTGTAGACTAGGCTGGCCTGGAACTCACAGAGATCTGCCTGCCTCTGCCTCCCGAGTGCTGGGATTAAAGGAGTGCGCCACCAACGCTCGGCCCTGTTTGCAATCTTAATTTCTCTATGCAGTTTATAAATTATTCGATGTTACCTATAAACACATTGTTCAGTGTCCTCACTTTTCTTTCTGACTTTCCATAACATTAGCTATAATACAACTAGAAAAAAAATACAATGGAACATAACAAAAGCAATGATAGGAGAAAGGGTAGTCAGATAGCAGATGACCTCCAACTCTACTGAGAAGAGTTGAGAAGGACTGAATGAGATTAACAAAAGACAAATGTACAGACCAATGCAATGTAAAATAAGACCCAAGGATAAATGCTAATACACTGTAAAGATATGTCACTCAAAATGGTATAATAAAATGCTGATCAGCCAGCGGCCAGGCAGGAGGTATAGGTGGGGTTACCAAACTAAAGATGATGGGAAGGAAAAGGACAGAGTCTGAGGGATCATCAGCCAGACACAGAAGTAGCAGGAGATGAACGGGCCATGCTAATAAAGGAACCACCACATGGTAGAGTGTAAATAAGGAATACGGATTAAGTTAAAATGTAAGAGCTAGTTAGTAATAAGACTGAGCTATTGGCCAAGCATTTATAATTAATATAAGCATCTGAGTGTTTATTTGAGAGCAGACTGCAAGACACAGAAACTCCACCTACATATGGTATCCAAGCATTTGGCAAGTATTTCCATATAAACCTGAGAAATCTTAAGAAAAGGATTCTAAGCATACAAAAGGACAGTTAAGGAAGGCTTCTTGGTAACTGTCTTTCCTCGGATAGGCACTGTTTGATGGCAGCAGTAGAGACATGGTTCCTGTCTGATGCAGCTTCCTGGTTGGAGCTGGCGGCACAGATGACTTCTGGCAGGTCCTCCTACCAAACACTTAAATGGAGTTTATGAAGAGCAAGTGACATGTTACTCAGTGATGACATGGACCCAGAAACTCTCCAGAGTTGGGGCAATACAAGTGGCTTCCACCGGTAACTCTACCATGAAGCTAAGCTCAAGGAGCCAGCCACACCACTCAGCAGACTCATGTTGTCAGAGAGATATGCAGTAAAGACAGATTCAGATGGAAAAGCCCTCTAAATGTTTTACAGTGTGTTTAAAAATACTCATAGGCTTGGGAGAGAAAAGAGAAGGTATAGACAGTCACAAAAATGAAATATATAGTTTTACAATAATAGAATCCTAAAAAGGAAGTAATATGACAAAGTCACATAAAGATAGAAAATACACAAATAGCCTGGATATTGTATGTTATTGTGTTGTCTTTGAATTGTTTGACTGATGAGGAAGCAGTAATAGTTGCTAAGAAATATTTGATTATAAATATTGTTGGATTAATCCAACCTATATATTTTTAAAGTATCTTGGCTTCAAAATTTAAGTCAAAAGATGTTACTTTGGGGAAGAGGTTCTGCTTTATTTCCACAGAAAATGAGAGGCTGTGGATCTATTCTGGTATAAAGAAAATCAGGTCTGATCAATGAAGACCCCCTGAAATACTGACTGCAGACATAAAGAAATAAAACTATAAGACATATGATGTATATTTTACCTGCTCAAACATATAACAACAACAAAAAATAATCTTTGGTTCACTTGTAAACAATGCAGTTTATATTGATGCAAATATGTATGTTACCTTTAAAAGTTTATGAATTTTCAGAACAAGGGGACCAAACACCAATGACAATGGATGGTCCAGGTGATCCAGCATTTCAGAATGCCTCTGTTATAGTCGCCTCAGGATTCTACATCCAGAATAGCTTCAAGTCTGCTGACTGAAATGATACAGCCTCATAGAATACTCTAGTCAGGCTTGACCATAATCCTAAATTTTCTCAGAGTCCCCCAAAGATTACTAGTCCCCCCAATCAACAGGAAGTAGTCTAAAGAGCTACCCTCACCCCCCCAAATGGATTATAGACATTTGTCTTAGTTTAGGGGGTTGGTTACAAATTGTTATTGGTCATAGTTTGAAAAAAAACAGACTAAACAAAAGTTAAATTCAAAGATCTCTTTCTAGAAGAAGAAAGGGGAATATAATGTAGAAATGATAGGATAAAAGGGTAGATTATTTAATCTACTTTAATTGAAAAGACAAATATTAATTTTACATATTTTACATTGGTATGTATTTTGGCTCACTGATTTAAATTTCGTTAAACTGTATATATCTACTCTTGTTTAAATTACTGTGTTCATGCAGCTCATTTAAAATGTAATTATAATTAAGAAATACACATTAATAGTCATCTCTAATGGTTAAACTTATAGTCATATTAGGTATGCTTTCAAGGTCATACATCAATATATTTAGATTGATGATCTTCAAACACTTCAAAGACCTACAGAATATGGTATTTAGTATGTTTAATAACCTAAGGTTTTTCATGACAGCAGGCATGTCTGTTCCTGGCAGCACCAATCTACTTCAGAGAAGATGACGGGCATCGAAGAAACTCCATGTGGAGTTTGTTTTCTTTATGGCAAAAGCTAGCCACATGGGCAAAGAAATTGCCCTTGCCTCAAGTGATGACAGAATGCTGTTCAAACTGGATACAAAAAAGGTAACTGCCAAAATTTGCTACGATGATATAGGACAGTCCTTCAAAATTCAAAATTCCCTGCTTCTCAAAATTGTCAGAAATGTTAGGCCTGTAGGCCAAAGATGGATGCCCCAACATTGCAGAGGATTTGGGTGACTGTCAAGGTCTGATATCCTTGTCATTAGGTAACACTTCACCCTTCTGGGGTCTTTCATAGAATTGAAGACTAGTTATAGTTTTCTTTAATTATGATAAAAGATAAATTAGGTTGAAAACTTTGGACTCACAAGATAGGTTACATAATAGATTATTTTCTCTAATTTTGCCAAATATAAATAGACTGGATATTGTAACTGTAATTGTTACTTAATAACTACTTTTGTTGTATATAATCTTACTATGTTAAAGTGAAAAACTTCCTTTTTACTTGTACAAAAGGGGAAAATGCTTTGGAATAATCCTCTAGTACACTGTAAAGAATTGTCACTTAAATTGGTATAACAAAATGCTGACTGGACAGTAGCCAGGCAGGAAGTATAGGCAGGGCAACCAAACTAAGGATGACCGGATGGAGAAGGGCGGAGTCTGAGGGGTCACCAGCCAGATGCATAGTGAGCAGGAGATGAGCATGCTGTGCTAATAATGGTACCACCACATAGTAGAATGTAAATAAGGAATATGGGTTAACCTAAAATGTAAGAACTAGTTAGTAATATGGGCTGAGCATTTATAATTAGCACAAGCCTCTGAGTGATTATTTGAGAGAGGAGGCAGGACAGGAAAACTCTGCTTAGAATTATATCCATTGCTATGTAAGTTATAAAAAAGACATTGCTACATTATAGATATTAGTGTGGTTCATTTGCTAATCTGAGATGTGTATACTAAAAATGGGTATGGCCATTTATGCAGAAGGTTTGTCTACAATATGAACTCACTCATAGGCCCTAAGTATTTAAGGCTTTGTTACTATTTAATTTGTATGATTTTCTATACAAAATATATTTTTTGATGCTAAGGAATGAAGAATAGAATAAACTGCTTATCAAGTATGTTAAGTTCATTCATGGCTAAATTTCTCATGTTGAGTTTGCAGCAACTGTTCAACATGTAGCTACTGTCTTTGCTTTTACAAAGTTCATCTACAACATGAAATATTTGGTGTTAAATAAGAGAAACATAAAATTCTTTGTCATATTCTTTGTATCGTAGGACTTTTATGGAGTGTGAAAGCTCTGGTGTCCAGTAGAGACAGACACACCTAAAGGCTTTGTGACACTGTATCTAGTAGAGTCTGATGGCAACAGAGGTATGAAGAAGAGGAAAATGCCTCCCTGTGTCCTTTGCCCTCTTACATTGATTTGCTGAAGTCATGAATGGCATGACCAAAAACAACTTTGGGAAGGAAGTATTTTATTTCAACATAAGGGTCAGTGTTCCTCTTCCAGGGATGCTAGGACAAGAAGGGAAGAAGAAACCATGGTTCCTAACATGTTCCTCTGTCTCCTGCTCACTCACAATTCTTATGTGACCAGAACACCTCCCAAAGGTGGTACTGCCTGTCCTGGTTGGACTCCCCTGTATCACTTACCAATCAAGAACATGGTCCCCAGATATGCCCATAAGGCACTCTGACCAGGAAAGCACCCACTCAGATAATGCTGGGCTAGGTGAAGTTGACAGCTGAAGCTAAGGAGGACATTTGCATCTGCAGGGTTTCTCACCGATATCAATGTGTTGGTGTTGCTGAAGACTGGAGCCTTAGGAACAGTGATTGTATGTGTTGCGTGTCTCTGCCATATGAAGTATCTGCAGATACTTATAGTGTGAAGTGCAGGTAGAGAACTGATTGCTTTTGTGAGATCTCTTATCAGAATAATCCTTTTTTGCCTGAGTAGGGTTCCTCTCCGATGAGAATTACCGAGGTTGTACCATGACCGAATGATAACTGAAACCTTCACCACACCCTCACATTATAGCTTTGATGTTCAGGGTGAATATTGTTGTGTTACTTAAGATAGAAAGGAACACTGAAAGCCTGCCACTCCATTCAGAATTGAACTTTTGCTCTCCAGAACGAACTTCATTGTTGGTAGATAGTGCAGCACTCACCATCATGTCAAGTGCATGGCTTCTCTACTCGATGGATTCTTTTGCCTTGGATGAGGTATGGATACTTAGCAAGATTTTATCACATTGCGCACACCTGTCAAGTTTCTATTAAGAATGAATCCCTTTATGTCTTCTAAGGGATGAAGATCGGAAAAAGCTTTTGCCACACTTTTCACATTTATAGGGTTTCTCTCCAGTATGAACAATCTGGTGCTGATTGAGGCTATCAAGCCTAGAAAAGATTTTTCCACACTGTTCACATATGTGGGGTTTCTCTCCAGTATGAACTCTCTGGTGCTCAGTAAGGGCTGAGTAACTTGTAAAGGTATAGTGACATTCCCCACACTTGTATGTATGGATTTTGTGGTGCTTTTTAAGGTCTAAAGTAGAATAAAACATTTTGCCACATACTTCACATTTGTAAGATTTCTCCCCAGAATGACGCAATTTGTGCCAAGGGAGGTATGAAAGAGTAGAAAATGTTTTCCCGCACTCTTCACATTTGTATGGTTTCTCTCCAGAATGAAGTCTTTGGTGATCCTGAAGTTGTGGAAATGAGTAAAACCTTTTGCCACACTCTTCACACTTGTAGGAATTCTCTTCAGAATGAATTCTTTGATGACGCTTAAGGAAGGCAGAGGAGTAAAATGCCTTGTCACAGTCTTTACACTTATAGGGCTTCTCTCCACCGTGAATTCTTTGATGCCGCTTAAGCAAAGAAGGATAGTGAAAGGCTTTGCCGCACTGAGCACACTTGTAGGGTTTCTCTGTAGAATGAATTATTTGGTGTTTCTTAAGTAATAAAGGGCAGTAAAATAATTTCCCACACTCTTCACACTTGTAGGGTCTCTCTGCAGAATGAATTCTCTGGTGTACCTTAAGCAGCGAAGGGTAGGAAAATACTTTGGCACATTCTTTACACTTGTAGGGTTTTTCTCCAGTATGATTTTTCCGGTGTCTATAACGTGTTGAGTGAGAACTAAAGGCCTTACCACATTCTTCACACTTGTAGGGTTTTTCTCCAGTATGAATTCTCTGGTGTACAGAAAGTTTTGAATGAGTATTAAAGGCCTTACCACATTCTTCACAATTATAGGGTTTTTCTCCAGTATGAATTTTCTGATGTACAGAAAGTCTTGAGCGAAGACGAAAGGCCTTACCACATTCTTCACATTTGTAGGGGTTCTCCCCTGTATGAACTGTCTGGTGTTGACTAAGCAGTGAATTACAATCCAAGGCCTTGCTGTAATCTTTGCATTTATTGACTGCTTTTCCTGTTGGCCGGAAGTTAAGACATGAACAAAAGCTTTGCACATTCTTTATATTCATATGTTTATCTTTAAAATGGAGACATTTACTCATACTTACACTATTATTGGTAAATCAGAAATAACACTATATTTCTACACGTATGTTAACTGAGAATAAATAACTCAGAAAATATAGTATGTGGAAACAATCTAAACTTCTACTCAAATAAAAGCCTGATTGAATTGAATACAGAAATAATGGCATGCCGGGCAGTGGTAGTGTACACCTTTAATCTCAGCACTGGAGAGGCAGAGACAGGTGGATATGTCAATGATTCGAAGCCAGCCTGGTCTACATAGTGAGTTCCAGGACAGCCAGGGCTACACAGAGAAACCCTGCCTTGAAAAAACCAGAAAGAAGAAGAGGGAGAAGAAAAGGAAGAAGAAGAAAGAATGGCACATTAATTAAAGTTAAGGAGCTAAGTAATAATTATCTATGATGAAGGAATCCCTCAAGGGTATTACACAAAGAGAAATAAATACCTTAATCAAACACAGGCATTGCATGTAGACATTCATGGCATTATCAGCTGGGAAAGGGGGAAACTAATGGTGACTGTGTGATAGCGGAGCCATATAGAAATACCATTTTAACCCCAAGTATGAAGTTTAGGATTTTTAGACACGAATGAAAGTATGCATAACAAGTATGTCTACAAAACCTGAAATAACCCACCTCACAAATTTCAGACAGCATTTTATGTTCTATTTGGATGACAAATATGCCAATGATATAAAAATTATGAAAAAATTAGGTTCACCTATAAACAACAACTTCTGCCAAAGACAATATGTTATCAATGGAAAGGTGTTAAAAATTAGCTGATTTGCTACAAATTTTTAATTTACAAGATGAAATAACCACTGAGCAATGAAAAGAGACAACATTCAATTTATGAAAACATGAGACTTACATTTACGAATGAAGTGGAAATACACAGTTCTCCCGGTCACATAACTAGAGCTCATATACTGTTATCTTACATGGTCCTGAAGTGTTTATAATTGGATAATCCATCCACGAAATTATACAGGTTACATATAAACAACCGATTATAGGCTATCCACTATCAAGTAATAGCACACAATCACACTGCCAAGTTAGGAAAAAAGAAACTTGAATTCTCAATATTTTGAAGACTTATTGATAAACTATTAAAATTCTTCTAGTTTTGGACAGTTTTAATCTATGACTATATATCCACAAAGGTTATGCATTCTAAATCCTTAATGAGTGTTTGATAAAAATGAGAATACCTTCTCATCGTTCATGAAGAACTCTGATGAGGTGATTTTGATCAGCATGAGTATAAGTGATATTAGGTCTTTAGAAATGTGTGCAAATTTTCAGAAGTTTAGAAAACAATGCAAATTTATGATGTATAAACTCCAAAGAATGACCTCTATAAATCATTGTAAATAAAAGCACAGCTCACTATTGGGTAATTACAAAGTTTAAGAGATTTAAACTATCATACACATCTGAGGGATGTTCTTTGACAATAAAAACAAGAAGAAACCTAAAAATTATCCCCATAATATCACCACTCAAGGCAGATGGGAAAGACTGCCTTTCTGTTGAATAATAGAACCTCAAGTCTGTTCCTCATCCCCCTCATTCTTACATACCTGTATGCACAGTAGCTGCCTCTTGTTTCTTCACACCGGTAGACCTTTGTCTTTGCTCCAGAAATGTCACCAGATGTGGCTTAGAGAGAACAAGACCTGTTTGTATGAAAGGAAACAAGATTAAGTGTTCTTCTACTGGGAATTGCCATATTCCCTTCCAGGACACTGTTTATAAGAAAAGAGATGATGTAAGAAATGACTGTAGACAATCAGATCCTTAAATGTTTTCTGACAGGACCACTACAGTACATAAAGGAATTTACAACATCCAGATTCTGAGTTTCATTTAAGGGGAAAAATGTTGAAACTGAATTGTGAAACATTTTCATTAATACATAAGGTACATGCCCATTGCAACTGAGTTTCTAACATTTCCACTAGTGTGAAGGATGTATTCCTCCAACACAGACAGGTTAAACACACAAAAAAAGCAATGTTTTTTAGCTGATGGGGGAAGGCTTCTGTACATGTTTCTCTTATTGGTTGATGAATAAAGTACTGTTGGCCAATAGAGACTAAGATAGGCGGGACTAGGAGACAAGGGAGAATTCTGGGAAATATAGTAAAGAGAAGTCATCATATGATCCAGGCAGGAAGTGACATAGCAGGCAGAATCAGAATATAAGCAGGGACAAGCAGGAAATCACTCTCTTTTCTTTGTGGAGATGCTGAGGAGACACAATGTAGACCCCAATAGAGTAAGAGGCCCAGACCTTTACTCTGGTAAGATATGGCCACATGGAAATACATGGGTTATTAGAAAATGGGTGGATAATTAATACTGAGCAAGTCAATATGAAGCCCAAGTCACCCGTTAACAGCTTATAACAAATATAGTATCTTGTGTGTTTATTTTTGGGCTCCGAGGTGGCTGCGGAACTGGGCAGGAATCTCGTAACACTTAGCCAAATATATTCCCTAATTTTTCTTTATAACCAAGATTATAAGATGTTTTGGTGGAAAGCACAAGCTCCCATGAGATAATGTATAGAGTGAGGAAGTCACATACTGACAGTGAAATAAGAAATTAACAGTGGACGTGATCCTCACCCAGGAAATCAAGGTGGCTGTAATTCTCCAACATCACATCCCTGTACAGATTCCACTGAGCAGGCTCCAGGTATTCCCACTCTTCTGGAGAGAACTCAATGGCTACATCCTGGAAGGACAGCATTTCCTGAAACAAAGATCAATGAATGAGACCCCATTTTTAATTCAAGCCATTAATAACAGGCATTTTAGGGCTAGTTCTCTGTCAATGTGACATAAGCGAAGGTCTTTTGAGAAGAAGGAACTTCAATTGACAATATGCATTCCATAAGAATGTCCTGTATGCAACCCTATAGGAGGCTGCTCTTAGTCATCCATTAATATACACTGAGTTCATTGTGGATGGTGCAACCCCTGGGCAGGTGGTCTTAGATGCTAAACGAAAGCAGGATGAGCCAGCCATGGAAGGCAAGCCAGTAAGCAGTGTTCTTTCATGGCCTATGTCCAGTTCCTGCCTACAAGTTGCTGCCTTGACTGCCCTCAGTGATGGACTGTTACCTGAAGTTATAAGTTGAAATAAATCCATTCTTCTCTGAGTTGCTTTGGTCACGGATTTTATCACTGTCAAAAAAAAAAAAAGCCCTCTAACACGGGTACCTTGTACTTCTTTTCACAACTCTATATTTTGCCTAGGCTAAAAAGAGCAGTAGGCATGAGTGACATGCTTCGAACTTAGGCGAGTCATATTCCTCAAACACTTCAGATACGGTCACATGATCTCACACCATACCCATCAAGGAAAGAGAAGGCAGAAGATCCTATAAGTCCACGTGGAAACTTAAGACAGAAGAAAGATAAGATGAATGTTTTCATAGAAAAACATTCATTCAGTGCCACATGCTTGCTTTATAACACACACACACACACACACACACACACACACACACACACACACACATTTCTCACAGGAGAACATCATGGCCAGAGAGAAGAAACTTCTCCACCATTAATATGTACAATCATGAATATGAAACACAATGAAAATGTAGTTTCTGAGCTGGGTGGTGGTGGCGCACGCCTTTAATCCCAGCACTTGGGAGGCAGAGGCAGGCGGATCTCTGTGAGTTCGAGGCCGGGCTGGTCTACAGAGTGAGTTCCAGGACAGGCTCCAAAGCCACAGAGAAACCCTGTCTCGAAAAACCAAAAAAAAAAAAAAAAAAAAAAAGAATATGTAGTTTCTGATGTAGCAGCTCTGGGCTGAGGTCTGGATTTCTTAACTTGCACAGAGTTCATACTGATGCTAATGCACTGATCTGTCCTGGCCTTTGACAGTAAGTGTGGAACACAGTAATCACTAATATTTGCTTTAAGTGAACACATTTTTGCAATATGATGACTCATTGTAATTGGAGCCTTAAAAAGAACGTGATAGATCATATGCAATGTATTTGTTGAAAAAAAAAAAGGGAATGAGCAATTAGAACTTTAGCTTCAACTTAAATGTCACATGCTTTGCCCTGTATGACAGGTCTAGATGTATCTGAACTTTAAATAATCAGAATATTGTTACTAAATTTTAACACAATAGTAAGCGGTGTATGTCCCACAAACAGTTGGGACTCACATTCTCATCCACTGACTTATTTTTATGTAGCTACCACAAAGGAAAGAACAATGGAGTGCAGAATTTAAACATTTGGCTAGTCAATCTGACACATACTTTTCAACTCAAAATATGTCACTGTTTTTGAAAATAATTTTGGATGGACAGACTCAATGACAGAAACTTCCATAACCACAAAAGACAGAGTAATGAAAACCTGTTTCTCAAGTTTATTCTGTTTGGTTTCTATTTAATTATGTTCAAATAACCTCTGTAATTTCTCTCAATGGTCTCTTATACACAGGACCAAGAACTCAATGCCATTATCCAACATACATTCCCTTCAGAGTTTTCCAAGAATGACCTGTCTAACATTGCAAGATTAGTGCATGAGTCTGTAAAGACCAGTAACTACTTCCCTCATATCATCACTTACACAACATTAAGCATACAATAAAAATATCCTGTACTAGGCAGGATTGGACACTATTGGGGACTAAACTCTTCTCCATGGAAGAGTAATAAACAGAACTTTGCTTTGCTGGTTGGATGACACAAAGCCCCATGTGAGTGACAGCCAAGGAGGCAGCTGTCATCCCGCACATGCAGAGCAGGGTTCTGTTTTGGAAAATGGCAGAGAAGCATCAGACATACACATTAACCTCTGGTCTAAGGGAGGAGAAGGCATCCAAGGGGCAGAGAAGCAGAGAAGAATGTAAACACCCATGGGCTGCGTCTGTCACAGAGAAGTCCAGAGAGAGAATGAGGTCTGTTTACTTCACATTACACGAACACCTAAAGGTCTGAGAGTTCTTCCTCATCCTGCTGTCCTGACACAAAAGCCTGGCACCCTGAGCAAGGAGAGCTTTTTCACCTGCCCCGGGACCCCCTGCTGAGGGACTGGTTCAACAAGTCAAAGCCAGCTCAAGACATGTTCACACAGCACACCCTGCATTTCTTGAATGCAATCAACCATAATTTAGGGATGGCAGACCCTTCAAAGGCTTAAGCACCCCAGCGCTCAAAGCAAAACTGGACATCCGCTTCCCCAGTCCCTGCTCGGCTCTGCAGTGGGTCCTTCTCTCTCTGTTGTATGTCTGTCCCCTCACCCCTTAGTCAAAGCTTTTCTTTACCAGTTGATTCTGGCAAACTTGTCTGCAGTGTTCCGGAATCTCCTAGCTGCAAACTGTTATGTCTCAGATTTCCCCCCCTTTTAATTCGGCAACTGGACGAAAACAAAACAAAACAAAAATAGTAGACAATCACTGCTATAGGGCACAGGAGAGATAGAAAACCCGCCCAGGCAACATTCATCTGAGACTGGTCAGTTAGAAAGAGAATGTATTCCCAGCCAAGCTCCCAGCTGACCCATCAAGCCCTGGAAATCCAGAACCTTGCACCATACCCAACCCCTGCGCTACCATCCTGCTGTCCTGTCCCAGAAGTCCAAGGCTGCCCGTCCTAAGGAAACCATCTCTCAGGGCACAGTCCCATCGCCCTCTCCCAGCCCTGACCTGCAACCTCCCGCGTCCCAGCCAGTTCAGCACAGCATCTCCAAGGCAGCTTCTCCGCCCTCCCACCCAGCCCAGGTCCGCCCCCCTCCAAGACGGACCTCGCACCCCGCACAGAGCCTCGGGCTGCGCTGCACCCGGGACCAACCTCCAGTCAGAGACACAGTAGGAGACACAGCAGGTGAGGACTCGCGCCCAACTTTGGGGAAAGAGCACACTTGCAAACAGAATGAACAAAAACTGTTTCCGGAGCGGGTCCTTGCAGCATCACAATGACCGGACCACATTTCCCACAAGTCTGCGCGAAGGAATTCCGGAAACCCAGACGTAGCGATTTCGTCAATTCCTTGTCTTGTCCTGATGAAACTGCTTTATGGGAGGGAGAGGCAGGTTTTGCAATAGAGCCCTAAGCAGTGAGGCTGGTATTCACCTTCAGATCTACAACACGAGATGAGTGGATGTGAATGGAGCCATGGACAGAAATATTAGGCTTGCTGGTCATTTCTGGTTCATATGTTCTGAATTCAATCTTCCTACATCCTAAAAATATATCACGTTGATTCAGTTTTACTTTTAAATAAGGAAGCAAGAGGCTAATGTTGAAATGAGAATTTCTCCTTCCTCCCTCCCTCCCTCCCTTCCTTCCCCTTCTTCCTCCAACTCCTTCTTCTGTTTTAGCTTTGTTTTGTTTTGTTTTTAAAGGAGACAGGGTTTCTCTGTGTAATCCTCGCTGTCCTGGAATTTGCTCTGTAGATCAGGGTGGCCTCCAACTCAGAGAGATCGCCTACCTCTGCCTTCTAAGTGCTGGTGTTAAAGTCATGCACCACCACCACGAATTTCTTTTAAAGATCATTTTTGAAACCAGCCTTGGTTTGCGAGAATGTGCACCTAGCTGTTTATTGGTTACTGACAGAAGGACACCGGGTCCAAGGCTGAATTGGTTTATAAAGGCCTTGTACCTAAATGAAAAGTAGAAAAACAGGTAAGGAGCGATCTTGTGGTAAAGCCCTTGAATATACTGGAGGCTTTGGGTTCAGCACTACACAAATAAATAATACCTGTTCTCCTATACTGATATCCTGTGTGAGCCACGTATGGGTGAGACTCAATAGCTAAAACCGTATTCCTGTGCACATTGGAACCCTTATAGTATAAGAATTGGGCCAAGGACACACAGATGGTTTTAATAATTGAACAAAATTAAAAGTCCATTTCTCTGAAGTTTATTTGCATAAAATACCCAGAATCCATTTCAGGATCTTTCCATATGTATATCCTTGTCCACAATTACATCCATTAGTCCAGGGGAGAAATTTAGGTTTTGTAAAAGTGGTACCAGAACTTCACCAAACCTACTTTTCCCCCAAACTCTACTGACTATTCACCATCAGGTGTGCAATGAGCTCATGGCCACCTCTCCTGCTCCTCTCCAAGTGGAGATACTCGGCTCCTGAGAGCACACTGGTTTGTATAATTCCTTCTGGCCCATCATCACTTACTAAATTCCCTATGCAGGACTTTGATCTGTCTTCAATTTCCTCTCTTTTCTGATCCTCAAGTTGTTCTGTGTAGCAGTATTTTGAAAGCCATGAGCATTTGCCTCAAACTTCCTTCAGTTCCCCCAACACAGAAATGCTTCTTCCTTGAATGTAAAGCAATCAGAAATATTTCCATGGGAATAGTATTTCTTTTTCTTTTTTGTTTTTTCGAGATGGAGTTTCTCTGTATTGCTTTGGAGGTTGTCCTGGAACTCACTCTGTGGACCAAGCTGGCCTCAAACTCACAGAGTGCTGGGATTAAAGGCGCTCATCAATGCTCTGAATATTATTTCTTAGCATGGTGAGGCGTGTGTGTGTGTGTGTGTGTGTGTGTGTGTGTGTGTGTGTGTGTGTGTGCGTGCTATGTAGAACCTTCACTGAGAAGGTACTCATTCATATGAGAGGTGCTGGCTGGTGAAATTGCAGCCTTCAATCAGAACTCCTCTGTTGTCTCCATTTCTCAATAGAAGGATTACTTTTTGGAAGAGAAGAAGATAATATCCCGCAGGTAAAACCTGGACAAGCAGAGTACCACATGGATCCCCATTCATCACATTAGGGGCCTAAGCATTCATATGGAAAATTCTACCTCAAGCTGAATTCTCAGGTATTACTTATGACTATTTAGACCACATTGACAATTTTATCTTTGACACCTATAAAATATTTCCTTCTGATTTCTAGATTGTTAGTTTCCTCCATTGCAGCATCCTGAAAAACATGCTCTTTGGCAAGAATCAGTTGAAACTCTCAGATTTGGGGGTTGGACAGAGGCTCAGTGGAGTAGTTAAGGGCACTTATTAGGTTCACATACTAACACACATACATACACACACAGACACACACACACACACACACACACACCTGTCAGCTCACAAGGACCTGTAATTCCACTTCCAGAAGATCTAACTCTTCTGACATCTGTAGGCAGGGTTCTTTGCCTACAATTGTACATATGTAAATTACACACACATGCCCATAAAAGAAAAATATTATTGTAATGTCAAGCTTGAATATTAGAAAAAGAATCAGTGTTGAAGTATGTACAATTTATCATGTGTCTGATCATGACTGTAAAAAGCTATTTCCATTTATCAATGTTCTGCACAATCCAGCGAAAGAGTCTGTACTAGTGCAGTTCTCAAGACCCCATACCCACCATACACTGTACCATTTGTGTGTGTGTGTGTGTGTGTGTGTGTGTGTGTGTGTGTGTGTGTGTAGCGATATGCTTTATTACTGAATCCCTCAAAGGGAGGCACACAACCAGATTTTTTTTGTGTGTGGTTTTTCGAGACAGGGTTTCTCTGCGGCTTTGGAGGCTGTCCTGGATCTAGCTCTTGTAGACCAGGCTGGTCTTGAACTCACAGAGATCCGTCTGCCTCTGCCTCCCGAGTGCTGGGATTAAAGGCGTGTGTCACCAATGCCCAGCCACATAACCTGATTTTATAAATAGTTTTGTACCTTCTCTAAAGACATACTGAACTAGCTTAGGATAAGACAAATGGTGACTCCTTTAAAAGGTTGATCTATGGACTGTATTAGATGATGTAATATCATCCAAATAATTCCCCAGTTCTGTTTGACAAAAACAAATATTTTACTATCCATTTATACATGTGGAGAATATTTCCTATTAGCCATAAGGAACATGTGCCTTCTGGCCGGCCACCTTCTGGCCTATTTCTGTGGTTATTCTTTTCTTGCTTCCAAACCATCTGCCTATGCTTCGAATGCTGGTAATACTGAGCCTCTCTCTGAGTCAGGATCACACTGGTTTCTCATTAACATGTGCAGCTTGGGAAAGTCAAAGAAATAAAAAGGCTTCATAGTCATTCTTCTGTTCCACAGAGGCCATTAAGTGGGAATTAGCAAGTATATTTAATCACTCACCATTTGTTATCTTTTTATACTAGAAACTATCAGAGCATACATATGTTGGCTCATTCATCCATGCAAAGAAGGCATCTTCCTTCCTGTTCATTTCCTTAGTCTCTGGGATAGTTTCCCTCTCTGTTGCTATCATAGAACACCCTGACAGAAAGCACATTGGTGGTGGAAAGCAATTATTTGACTTCCAGGTTATGGACCACTTTTAGGTTGGGTTTTGTAGTTGGTGCAGGGTAATTTTCTGGGAAGAGGTACCTCAAATGAGAAACTGACTCCATCTAGATCTCCTGTAGGGCAAACCTGTAGGGCATGTCCTCTATTAATGATTGATGTGGGTGGGCTTTTTGTTATCATGTTTTATAACAACAATAAAGCCAAATGAATACAAAGCATCATTGAGGGAAGTCATGGAAGGAACCTGGAAGCAAAGACAGAAACAGAAACCATGGAAATATGCTGTTTACAGGCTTGGGCCATTGGCTTTCCCAGTTTGCTTTATTATATAATCCAGGACCAGCTGCCCAGGGATGGCACCACCCACAGAGGTCTGGCACATATCAATCATTCATGAAGAAATTGTTCCAAAGACTATAGGTCAGTCTGATAGAGATAATTCCATCATTAAGGCTCCATCTTCTTACAGGACTAACTTGTGTCAAGTTGACAAAATCTAACCGTCAGGCTCTCTTATTTTGAAATCCATATTACTCATTTTAAATAGCTCCTAGGAGTTTTCAGATGCAGGAGAAGGGAAGATATACCAGTAGGGGGAAGAACCTTTGCAAAACAGGCATGAACAAAGTTGTGTATGCTAGTGGTGATTTTCTATCACTTTCTCCCCCAAACAACCCTGTGGCCATGACATGGATGACTTATTGCCATTTTACTTTGGTAAGTTGGAAAGCGCCATATAGCACTTGATACATTAATAAAAACATATTCCTGTTAATTTTATAGATCAAGTACAGGGAATATGATGGACACAGGATGCTTCTAGACTCCTAAGGTTGGAAGAGCCACCTGTATGTTGGTGTAACTATTCCATGGGGTGGGCTCATGGTCTAATGAAAACAAGAAGGGTTGCGTGGTGGTTTGAATGAGAATCCTTCCCACCCCAGGCTCATACATTTGAATTCTTGGTCCCCAGTTGATGGAACTGTTCTGGAAGGAGTAGGAGATAAAGCCTTGTTAAAGGAGGTGTGCGTGATGGTGGTGTCTGAGGCTTCGCAAAGGAGTTATGGCTTAACAGTTATGTGCCTCTGCGTCACTGTAAGAAGGAATCAACTGTGCTGGTCATGTTTTTGTCAACTTGACACAAATCAGGGTAATTAGACTCACACACACTCCAAATTGTAAAGCTGGAAATGAGAACCACAGCCTCCATTCTCCTTACTTATGAGATGGCCACTGGCCAGGGAATACTCAGCTTGGAGAATGGCAAGAGCCCAGAGAGCAGGTTGAGGATAGGACAGTTTTGTTTGAAAGCACTAGAGCAGGACCCCAATGGCAGAGTTAATGGTGGAGATCACTATGTGTGGGATACTCTGCACAGGCCGCCACGGTGTTGTATGAGTAAGTGTTTGCTGTTCAGGCCAGTCTCCTTATTGTGGAGAAGGACAGAAGACATGCCACCAGGATCTCATTTCCTTTGAGTTTTAGCCAATACAATCAAAGGCAAGAAGTTCAGGGGCACCTGAGACTGGCAAAGTCTAATTTATACGTGGAAGAAATACAAATAAATTCTAGCATGGAGTGAGGCAAACTTAACTAATTCCATAACTTGGAGGCAGAGGCTAATGTCCTCCCCATTAATGAAAGC